CCTAGTAGCGTCCTTGCTCCTAGTAGTAAGGCCTGGAGCCCCTAGTAGCGTCCTTGCTCCTACCAGGAGCCCCCCTAGTAGCGTCCTTGCTCCTAGTAGCGTCCTTGCTCCTAGTAGTAGGGCCAGGAGCCCCTAGTAGCGTCCTTGTTGCTAGTAGCGATGCCAGGAGGCTCCTAGCGTCGTTGCTGGTGGATGCTGACAGCCTCAGGAGTCGACAAGAACCTGTATTGGAGCTACCACTTACAGGTGCCGGCTCCCAAAAGGCAACCAGTTTGGCCTTCAACCCGAAGCAGCGCGGCCTGCTGGGGGTTGGCCAGAGACTGAGATGGGAGCCGAGGTGATGGCAGTGACTCGTTGAATGACGACAGTGACCGAGGTGATGACAGTGGCCGAGTGCGAGTTTTTAGATTGCCTTTCCGACTTTCTGAACAGCAGAAAATGGAGGCCAATCAAGTGAGCTTGCCTTTGTTTTGAACCAGTATTGAGTATTGGTCCAAAATGGACATTTGTCACACATGTATATATATATACACATACATATACTAAAATGCTCCGAACCGTGCCTTCGTCACGATGATGAGAAAAAGTGTTGGCACCAGAGCTGAGACTCCTTGGGACACCAAAGTGTCCATGAGCACAAAAGCACTTGCCCTCCAAATCTGAGTGTCGGTAGGCAGCATGACCTGGTACATTTTTTTTTTTTGGTCTATTTGCTTATGCTGTTGCAGAGAGTCGGGAATGTGTTTGAGTCGACCTGCAGAATTTGAACTGATACTTCTCATGTTTGCGAATATGTGACTGTGATGAGAAACAGTGTTGGCACCAGAGCTGAGACTCCTTGGGACACCAAAGTGTCCATGAGCACAAAAACACTTGCCCTCCAAATCTGAGTGTCAGTAGGCAGCATGACCTGGTACATTTTCTTATTTTTTGGTCTATTTGCTTATGCTGTTGCAGAGAGTCGGGAATGTGTTTGAGTCGACCTGCAGAATTTAAACTGATACTTCTCATGTTTGCGAATAAGTGACTGTGATGAGAACAAGTGTTGGCACCAGAGCTGAGACTCCTTGGGACACCAAAGTGTCCGTGAGCACAAAAACACTTGCCCTCCAAATCTGAGTGTCAGTAGGTTGCATGACATGATATTGGCACTGTTTTGGATCATTTCTTAGATTTGATCTTGAAGCTAGCCACATTTGGAGCAAGGGAGGGCCATGCAAGGCCTTTAGCTCCCCACTGCTCATCCCAGGAGCCAGACTCCTGGCAGGTGCAGCTTGCACACCTTTGCCTTCCATGCGAGCTTTGTGCCGAGCTCCGAGCTCCTATTCCTGCTCACAAGCCTTTGGCCCGACCATGAGTGCTGGTTTGATACACAAAGACCACTTAGCACTCGTGGCAGTCATAGCCCATAAAGAAGTCACACATCCACACAGGAAGAGAGATGAGTCACAACAGCTTCCTGGACTGCTTTCTCCACGATGCATTGGGGTAAGCAAGCGCACGACATTATAATAAACTCCAGGATGAAGGTTGGTGAGGCGTTCACAGTGTTTCTTTTGTTCGAAGGAACTCTCATTGTTACATCCAATGGCATTCTGCTGTCTCTGTTGTACATCAACAACCATACACCGTCTGAATTGTCTCAAGACCGCCTTCAAGCCCCGAATGGCCCATTCAACTCTCACCACATGCCTTTCAGACCTTGCAAACAATGGTGGAGCCTACACCACTCTCCCCCTCTCTCTCTCTCTCTTTCTTTCTTTCTCTCGCTCGTGAGAAGCGAACGGTCCAATAGCTGGCGAACTTGACCGGTTGGATCTCACAACTCTACAAGACAACAGAGACTTAGAGCATGGCATGGGCTGGTGAATCAAACATTAAGTTGGACTGAAAGAGCTACCCATCGTGTGAAACATGGATTGCATCATGTGAGTGACATTCATTTTTTCCACAACTTGTTCTGGTGTGCCACCACCTGATTATCCTTTTCTGACTTGGAAATGCCTCGAATTTGGGATGCAGATCAACAGCCGCCATTGCTGCCTTCAAGGTAGCATACAATTATATACATGAATTTACTTCCGTCTCGGACATGATCCTGTCACTCACTTTCTTTTGCAGGTTGCGCCCAAAACGGTTTTCTTTTATTCACTCTCTGGACTCTTGGCCTTTGATGTCTTACAATCTGGTACTTCTTCCTCCTTTACTGCTGGGGCTGTTCGATGCTATGAAACTTGAAGATCTCAACATTATTTTCCCCACCAAATGAATTGACCGCCAGGACCAGTCCATACATCAAGCAGGCACATTGCAAGCGTTCCAAGAAGAATCCAGTTCATGCAGGGAGTCATCAGGAACTGAGTTGAGGAGT